ACAAGTCATATACACATGGTATGTGTGTGTATATGGAGCTGCTAGTTCTTGACTTGTTTTTTGTTGTTTGACTTTTGGCTAAACTACAAAAATGTATTCCGATGATATCTGTGTGACTTTGTCAGGCAGGGGCTGAAGGCTACGCAGGACGAACTGGCTGCTTCGGCGTTCCTCACCGTGAAGCTGGATGACTCACTGGGAGGATCACCGGTTCAGGTTCAAGCTTGTCGACGCATACCGCGTATCTTTAGCTCGTTTCTACTGAACAATCTGTGTACGGTCCTGACAGTCAGCATGATGATATGAGGAATAGAGAGTAGAAATTGCAGCCAAGGTTGACTGAGAAATCAAAAATATATGTAAAAGTGAGAGATAGAACTGCACATGACTTCTCTCAACTGTAATTTCTTTCATAAAATTATACAACACCTTTAAACGGTCGACAGAGGGCGCCATTCAATTAATTCTAACCTTGGCCCTGAAACTGCAAGTCTTCATACCATGATTATTTTGAATCATTCATTACACACATTTCAGATCAATGGATAACTGATTACGGTAGATACACTGAAAGGAGAGTATCCATAAAGTAATTAAATAATCATTTAAAATGAGATTCTCCAGTGATTCTCAGAATGGTACGTGGGCTCCCCGAATTAAACGCTCAAACTTTGCATCATGATAGTGTTTTGTTTTGTTTTTTAATACTTTTTTTTTAATGCGGTACACTACAATTCAGTTGTGTTTAACTTTGAAACACACGTTTTAAGCACACATTTGCATTTAATCCTTCGAACTGTCGCTTTTGAAACTATCATTTTACCTACATTTTGAGTGAATTTGGTGGAATACATTTCCACCATTTAAGGATATTTTGTTTAACCGTGCAAAATGTTTCAGTAGCTTCCAATAATTGAATTCTGGTACAAACAAGTTCTTGTGTTCGACAGGTGAGAGTGACTCAGGGCCAGGAGCCCCCCCACCTGATGAGCCTGTTCAACGGCAAACTCATGATCATCCACAGCGGGGGAACGTCACGTAAAGGTGGACAGACCCAAACTAGCAGCACTCGCCTCTTCCACATCCGCCAGAGCACCTCCCACGCTACCCGGGCTGTGGAGGTGAAGATGGCTTTTATTTGAGTGATTCAACCCAATGAAAAAAGATTCCCACCTCTCACGGGTCTTCATTTGTTCCTTCAGGTTGATGTTTCGGCTTCCAACCTGAACAGCAACGACGTGTTTGTGCTGAAGTCGCCAAGCGCTCTGTTTGTGTGGCGAGGCGCGGGGGCCAGTGACAACGAGATGGAGGCTGCCAAGCACGTGGTGGGCTTCTTTGGAGGAAGCGCCAGCCATGTTTCTGAGGGAAAAGAGCCAGGTGGGTTTCCTCTGTTTATCGATCGACAAGATACTAAAGAAAGTTCTACTTCTTCCATTCATAACTTTGCTGCTGTGAATTGGGAATTTCTCCATTGCGAGACTAATAAAGGTTTTCTTATCTTATCTTATCTTAAATCCACACAGAATTGATATCATCCATGTTTTAGAATTCCCTACAGATACCACAAGAGGGAAGCAAAGCACTTTTTTCTCTGGCTAAATGAAGGCGATGAAGCACCTCACCTCATTTCATCATAGTTGCTTGGCCCAAGTTGCCTCAGAGCAATATTTTTACACATGTTGGATTTTTAAGTGAATAATGGAGGGTAGTGTTTCCCTAAAAAATTCAAAGAGTTTTGCAACTACCGGTTACCGGTGACGTTTCATCATATTCAGAAGTAGTCACTGCATGCAGTACACTTGCACAATCTAATAATGTCCAAAGTCAGACGTTTTGACTCAATAAATAGACAGGGAGAGAGAGAGAGAGAGAGAGAGAGAGAGAGAGACACACACACACACACACACACACACACACACACGCACACCCACAAACACACAGACGCACAGTTAATCTAATCAAAATCATGCTCACAATTTTGGCTGCCACGATTAAATTAACCTAATTGTCGGTGATATATTATTCAAAACTAAAATACCGGTTCTACTGAATACTGTGGATCAATAAATACAGGAGATAGCTAGCTAGCTACCTAGCTAGCGAGCTAGATAGCTAGATATACTGTATAGCTCTCTTATTGGATTCTACCTCATGAAAAGTAGGCCTTGACTGTATATCAGTGCTAAGTAAATGAGAAGAATAAAACTGCCAAACTGGTAAACATTATTACAAACATATTGAAGGACTGAGTGTGCGATTGTGTTGAGTGCAAACTATTCTTCCTCACAGACGCCTTCTGGTCCTCTCTGGGTGGCAAAAAGGGATACCAGACATCCAAGACTCTGAAGAACGTGATCAAGCAACCGCGTCTGTTTGGTTGCTCCAACAAAACTGGAAGACTCATTGTACGTGAAATCATGAAACGGTTGCGAGAATAGCGCACATACTTCAGTCTACGCCTTACTGTGTTTTTTCTCAGGTTGAAGAAGTGCCCGGAGATTTTACACAGTCTGACCTGGCCACGGATGATGTCATGATTCTGGATACATGGGCTCAAGTAAGATGTCCATTATTTGGTCATTTTTGGAGAGTTTCCACTTGTATCCTTATTAGTATAGATTTTACAAATGGTCTTGGTGACATACTGTGTTTCTGTGTTCCACGCAGCTCTTCCTTTGGATTGGCAATGAAGCTAATGCACAGGAAAGGACGGGAGCTCCCAAATTAGGTTGGTTGCACAAAAAGTGGAAGGATTAGTAACCGAGAGAATCATGCATACAATAGAGTGGACGTGTTTGAGCGCTTACGTTATTTTTGGCCTATCGCCTCTTAGAGATACAGATGTGGTTTTCTGTGATCCTAATAATTTTTCCTGAAAATTCCTTTTATGATTAACTTTGTATTCCAACCCATTTGTCCATATTATGTTGACAATGTCAACATCGGGCTGCATAAACCAACACAAATCATCGTTTAAAAATGAACAATCACTGTGCCTAATGATTCTTAAAACCTTTGAGCTTGAATGGTGCAAGGGATGTGCACCTTAGCCATCGGCACTTTCCACACAATCACATGATGGCCTTTTGAGCGGTAACAATGTGGATGGCCCTTTTACTCTCCTTAGCTCAAGGGCAGCGATGCTCATGAGGGCACTTTTCGAGAGACGTCAGCAATGTGTCACTGGACGACACCGAGTGTGGCTTGTGGCTTGCAGACACTCTGTTAGGGATAACGCAGTGGTACCTTGACATGCAAGTGCCCCAACTTACAAGTTGTTTTTTTTTTTTAATGACTATCTATTGCTTGGTCAAGTTTTGTGTTATGAAAAAAAAATGGGGTCACGATAGCGCTTCAGATCCAAGGTTATGTCATATTAGCAGGTGTCTTTAATACATATTGTTGTTCCATCTAATTTTGATTAATTAATTACATAGGAGAAACTCCTATTTTACTTGTACACCATTGCAAACTACGGCCAATGTTAGTTTATTTTTAATCACATTCCCATTTTCCCACCCAACTCCTCCAGCACGGGACTATTTGGATTCAGACCCGTCCGGCCGCAAGGGGCTGCCCATCACAACCATCAAACAAGGAGCGGAACCGCCAATTTTCACCGGCTGGTTCCACGCCTGGGACCCCAAGATGTGGGAGACGGATCCTTTGGACAGAATCCGCACTTGCTTGTGAATACCAAACTCCAAAGTCTTTCGCCAACTTTGCACCTATTTAGCGCCAGTTGCCATTTTGGTTGTTTGACCTCTAATCCATAAGTGCCAAAAGCAAAGCAGTAATCAGATTTTAAGGGTGATAGCATCCGCACCGTCCTCATTTTGCCACCTTCTATCATTGAAAAAAAAAAGCTAAATATGCGAGACATTTAATACAGCTGTGTGCACCTACTTAATATCAACATGCTTTTTATCTCCATACACACCATTTAATCCATGACCACACTGTTGTATTTTTTGTTAGTACTGGAGTGTTGCCCTTACTAGAAGTTGCATGCCGCATTTTTATCCTGCTGTGAAATGTGTCTAAGTATATGCATGCACACATGCCACAATTTAGCACTGTGTCCATGAAATGCTCTCTTGGAAGGCTTTGAAATAAAACTCTCTTGAGTTAAAACACGTTGTACGTGTATGGAACGAATCAGAACGTGGGCAGTCAAAGAGAAGAAGCCCTCACATCATTAATCCAAGGAAGACGGAATGTGCTCACGTCATCCAGCGGGCTGAATGACCATCGATATTTTTTGCTGTTGTCGAAGTTGATTAATCAATGTAATCATTTATTTTTTTCTCGTTTGCTAGATGCTAATACATGATGCAAAATGCCACATTTGCAAGGAAAAACTTAGCCTAGCCCCTCCAGAAAAAAACCCAGAAGAAATATATATTTTTAAATATTGAAAAAAAAAAGTGAGTCAGGAGATCTTTTTTTTTTTTTTTTTTTTTTAAATTTAATGGGCATTCACAATATGGACCGCGGGCTGCCAATTGCCCATCCCTGCTATTGGCAATTCCAAACTGTTTTTAAGTGGGCGGGGCGCACATCTATGTTCCTATTAGACAGGAGTTTGGCGCCATCTTGTGTCATCTTTGAGCGTTTCAAAAGGAGAATACAAAATGTAAATTGAGGCGTTTTTTTTCGGTGAACATTTTAGGACGGGTTCCACAGACATAAACCTGTACATCTGACTCCGTGAATATCGTCAGTGGGATTACTGTAATCCTAAAAAAATGAATTTATGGTGATGGACAGGAATCGCCTTCGCACACAAACTTGTTGTTGAAGGTCGTCAATGGGATGTGGAGCGGGTCATCAAGTACAAAAAAAAAAACATGAGATGGGACTTGGAACAAGCTTCTTTAAATAGGAGCGACACAACAGGGGCGCTATGAAAGGCATCCAGTGGCATGCTAACCTGCATAAAGTAATGCGGCGGAGCTCCCCAGCACCTCTCCCCGCCTCCCTGTTGCTTACTGGGGGGGGGGGGGAAAAACTAAAACCGAGCGCCGTTCGGTCATGTGATCCCAGTTTTTTTTTTTTTTTCTGGCTCCTCTTTTTCTTCCGTCGAAGTTGAAAGGCTGGAGCCTGTGCGGCAGAAGGGAGCCACCACTTTCTTGCCTTCCCACACTGGTCGCGGATGCAACGATTTTGTCTCTTTTCAGGAGCCACATTATCCATTTTTTGACTCCATCACGATGGCGGGGGCAATTATCGAGAACATGAGCACCAAAAAGTTGGTGATAGTGGGAGTTATATTGCTTTTGTTCCAGGCGTTCGCTTTCATGGTCGGTGGGTTAATTGGTAAGTTTTTTCCGTCCCCTCCTCCTACCTCCTTATCGCTCACTTTTGTCTGTTTGTTTCGCGATCTCGTACCTTTTTCAGTGCCGAATGCTGAACGACAAAACCGAAAAGTTAGCAAGTTGTCAACGTGCTTCCACGGTGGTGTTAACACGAATCTTTTGTGACAAAGAAAGGATTGTACGCGCTCTATGTTCACCTTCTTCAGCCTGGCCTTGAAACATTACACGGAACTTTGAGCTAAAATCGCCGCAATGCATCGCAATGATTTTTCTCTTCCACGCCACGAATTAGTTCAATACTTGAAAAAAAATTGAATTCACAGGGTAGAGGTGGCAAAGGTATTCACTCTGTACTTGTAGAAGTACATATACCGATACTTGAGTAAAAAGAGAATGGTAAAAATACTGACATCATCAACTGTTGTACGAAAGAAAGCGTGAAAAACCACAGACTCTGAAATATCGTAGGATCAAATTTTGTGATCATAACTTGTCCGCATCGCTTTGCCAACATTGTGAACAGACTCAAAGGACAAATTAGCTCACGCTAGCCTGAAAAAAATACTCGCGGTACGACGATTAATCGACAATTAATCTATTATCAAAATGAATCCATTTTCAAGAATTGATTAATCGTTTACACACAATTGTTCAAATGCTCAAAAGTTTAGTTTCTCACCAATACATATCTTATTTCTGAAATCCATGAAAGCTGTCTAATTATCTTTGCGTTGAATCAAAATAAAACATTTGCTTGTACTTTCATCTTGGAGCGACGTTTCAGTATTTGGACTGGGTTGTGGTCGTTCATTCTTTGTGATATAATGAATGGTGGAAGTGTCAAGTCTTAACCCTCATATTTTAAATTAAGTCTCAAATTACTCTGTCAAAAATCAAGCAAGTCAGGTCGAGTTCTCGCTAGATTTCAAGCAAGTCGCTTCATTACTTGGGCTGAGCAAGTTGTAACTCAAGTCAAACAATCTTGTTGAGTTTTCGAAATCTTCACCTAGTAGCCACTTTGGATGCAAACACAGAATAACATGGTTTGTTTAATGAGCGATCACAAACCAGTCTCCATCTCGTCTGTTATTTTGTCTTCTTAATGAAAAGCATTACTGCCATGACGCTCAATTCATGTTTGATCAACTGTCGATGAGCTCAGCTGTGACGGTCGCGTATCTTTCCTGTCTTTGTGGCTATCATTATGACGGATACACTTAGATGGCGTAATTGTTCTGACTGTCTCATGTATGAGTTGCAATCCTTGCATGTTGCCATTTGCCATTTTTCGCTTCTTGATGAAAAGCAAGAATTTGTGGTGTAAGCATTTGACGTGATTCCTGGCTGGCTCAAGAAGTCGATTGCTGCTGCTCATATTAAAAAACAAAAACAAAAAAAACCAAACTCCTACCAAACATATGAGTCTCATATCCATTAGTTAAAAAAAATCACACACTGAAGAACAAAATATGACAATTTGATAATATAAAGTATTTTAAATTCTCGAATTTCTTCTCAATCCGTCTGTCGTTTCCACTCGATTGCGATCATGAACCGCGACGGAATTACAGCCAGCTGTTTCTTGCTTTTCAATTCTTTGATCCAAATTCCCCCTCTGCTCTTCACCCCTCCTCCATCATGTCACGTCTGTCTGCTGTGCAGGCCGCGGGCAGCATCTCTACCTTCCGCTAACCTCCCCCCCCTTGTGTGGATCCTCACTCTCCCCAAATCCCAGTGGCCTCGCAGGCAACGCATTTGTGTTTTCCCTCTACTTTGAGCTGCGCCGAGGCACAGGGACAGGCACACAGCTGTCAAAGTTAGATCCCGTCTTCCTGGGGGCTGCGTTAGGTTCGCTGTGAAATTTCTTCAAATCCGCCCACGCACGCGCACCGAAGTTGAAGTGAAGAAGGGCTTTCCTGTCCAAGTTTCATCTGGAAACGTCCCTCTCGCTGACAAATTAGCCCGTTTGGTTCTCGTCTGGCTAAGATGGTTTTAATGAAGCCGGATTCCTTTGTGTGTGCTTGGTGGCCCGGGGGCACCGGGGACAATTAGGCTCCCCCCCCCAACCCACGGCCCTGTTTTCCAACAAATGCCGAGAGCGTGGCATGGGGTTGGCGGGCTGCGGGGATGGCCATTATTCTGGACACACTGTCGTGCACTCCGAAGCAGCCGCTGGCCTCGGGGGGTCACTACACAATTGAAGTCCAAGGGGATTCAGATAACTGGATTTGATTTAGTTTGGTGTTATTGTTGTGACGTTTGTCTTTGAAAATAGCGGTGCCCGCATCCGTAGCTGTTCCGTATTAGCCTAGAATTCGATTTGGCATACTCTGAATAACATCACATTTGGTCCCTTGTTTTAGCATCTAGAAGACTTTAGCTGTCAATTTTTTCAGACCATAACTTGTAGCAAACGATTGTCAAGTGTTTGCTCTACCTGCCCAGAATTTATGTCACGCTGGTGAAGTAGTATCGGTGTTTAGATCATTTCTGCAAATTTGAAAACGACCTGACTGTGGGCAACTGCCTTCATGGAGTTGTGCTCTCGAAAATATGCATTTGGTCACTTGTGGTCAGTTAGATTCTTGCAAGTGTCTTTTTCGCATCGCAATCCCAAAACCAGAAGATTCTGACGACGGTATGAAGGCTCTGCCCAACATGGATTGGTGTTACCGAGCGAAAATACAAACAAATACAATTAAAAAGGGGCTCCGAGGCCCTGTATTTGCCGTATCATACCACAAAGGAAGGCAGTAATTAGCTGTATGCTAACATTGCCACCTTTATTCAGGTATCGGGCAGTGTTCCTTTATGTGCATTGTACCTTTCCAAAAAAAAAAAAAAAAAACCTTGGCAATCGAGGTTCACTGGACCTAAAATTAGAAATGAGAGTGCACCAGAAATATGTTCAACAAATGTTACCCTTCCACATGCCTGTCGTTAGCGGACCTTTAAAGTGTAGTCGCTGGAGTGATGCAATGTTTTGCTTTTTGCCTTGAAGCTACAACATAACACTTGATTCTTTTGTTTTTTCATGTTACTGTGTGTTCTCGTGACAAAGAATGGGCATTTCCCAAGTGCCGTTCAGAGCAATAACACCAAAGCGCCTGCGTCTCACTGTGTGAGCACTTGAATGGGTGTAATCAGGAATGTTTCGCATTGCGTGTGGAAGTGGGAGATGATGCTGTGGGAGAATAAAATGAAGTATTTGGACTCAAACGTAACCTGTTGACCGTCCCTCAGGGTTGCTGTCGTGATCTCACCCCCCCCCGTCCATGTAATCTCTTGCCTTTCAAGTGAATCGCCTTAAAAATCCCACCTCTCTTTTATTTCCGTGTCTCACCAGCTCCCAGCCCCACCACGGCGGTACACTACCTGGCCATCAAATGCGTGGACACCGTCAAGCACCGGCAGGAAGCAAAGTGGTTCATGCCTTGGGGTCCCAATCAATGCGACAAGATCCGCTCCTTTGATGAGGCCTCGGCCAAGATGATCGAGGCCAACAACATTGTGTTTGCTGTCCACATTCCTCTGCCGGACAAGGAGATGAGCCCCTGGTTCCAGTTCATGCTGGTCATCTTGCAGTTTGACATCGCCTTCAAAATGTACAATCAGATAGGTGAGAAACGCCATCGCGGATGATTTCGTGGTCCAGGGACGACGACAAGCGCCGCTCTTTCCAGCCTGCGTGCGCTCTCTCTTTGTTCCGTCTGCGTTTTCTTATGGGGTGTCAACGTGTTAGCCTCCATCCTGTTTCCTAATTTCCCCAAACTCCTGGCAAATATTTGCAGCGACGCGTTGAGACTGAGCTGGCCTCTGAAAAATTCACATCCCTTGCCGCTTTGCATAATGAATTCAAGAGCGCGGCCGTGCGACCGCCGGAATCAACCGTCTCTGCTGAGTCTGTCGTGGTTGAGAGTTCAAGAACAGACTCAAATCCATTTTTTGTTCTAGATGATTCCATTCCTTTTACACTGGAAGGTAGCAATAGTGGCAGGGGGGGGGGGGTGGTTAGCATGGGCTCGACACCCAACTGAAAGGCATGAAGGGAACCAAGAGGGGAAATGGACTGAATCGTTTTTCTAGCTTCTTGCCTTTTGAGCAATGAAAAGCATCCAAACACTCCGCTTGCCACCGAGACGGAGACTTTTGCATGCTCACAACACGAGTCGCACTCAAACGTATTTGATTTTTCGCTTTTATTAGTCGAAATTGTTGCAGTCATTTGTATTTGAGCACACTGGCGTATGCGATCAGATTGTTGACAGTTGCCATATTTTTATTTCTTTCCGGTCTTCTTGCTGTTTAGTGTAAACTCGACGTCACTGCTCTTGTGATGGAGTTCAGCAGGTGTCACGACGCTGTCGCTTTGTAACAATTGGGGCACGCTGCCTTTTAATAACCCAGGTTTTTATTTGTACTCTGCGCTGATTTGTGGAAACCCATAAATTCCTATGCTGCTCTTGAGTGAACAAATTTCATTAGCTCACAGCTGTAAACAAAACCCTGACCATTGCAGTGCTGGGTGTTGAAAATATGCAAAAAAAAAAAAAATACACAAGCATCTTTGAATCGTCTCTCGTCATACATACTGTAGTAGTTCCAGGACGAGAACATCCTTTGAACACACCAAGCAGCCATCGCTGTCGGTCATTGCGGCGAGCTGAGTGATAAAATAGTCGTAGGGCGACAGCTTTGCGGAGAAAAAAAAAAAGTTTAAATGCTTGTGTTGTAATAATTTATGAGCCATCCTCTCTGGCCTTGCTTGTCTAAATAGTCATGTCAGAGTTAACGGGCAGCTCCTCGGCACAATTAATGTGCCGACATTCTCTCCCTTGGTGGATGTCTGTAAGCAAAGTGGGGTTTGTTTACCGTCTGCTTGCCAGACGAATGATTCTGCCATTCAACTGGACCTCGGACGGATGTTTCTGTAATGCACCGAAGAGCCTTTTGGATGATTCTGTGCCACAATATGAAGAGTTTATGGAGCGAGGTCAGCCTGGAATGAGATGGTGCCTTTCCAGGAGTTTAAAAAAAGATCCTTGTCAGAAAAATAGCATCTTGACTTACAAGTTCAATTTGTTCCCTTTTCAAATCAAATGAAATGACATGAACCCATTTCACCGCGCCCTAGAACATCACATTAAAAAAAAGGCACAGAAATGTTGACGGCTTGTCGTTTAAATAATTGTTTGCAACTGGCCACACAAGAAAACCTGCTTGCTTCTTCCTTGACAATCACGCTATGTTTTTATGGCTTTATGGAAGTAATACGTTCCGAATATACTGTGTGTGGAACCTCAAAACCAGATACACCCGATCGTTATATTATGTCTGTAGGTATGAAGAACTCAGTCTCTCACTGTGTGAGTGTGCTTTTTTTTTTTTTTTTTTTTTTTTTTTTTTAAATTTATCTTTTGTGTGTGTGTGTGTGTGCAGTGATCAATTCCAGTTGGGTTAGGCTGTGTCGCGCGGTGGGCCATATGTCGTCTTCTGTAAATAATAATACATTTTTCACTTTGCCCAAGATGATGAAGGTTGCGCTGGGCGGCCCATCCCTTGGTCGCCGACCATCTCTGGATCGCCGTGTTTGTAACAAAGAAGAGCTTTACCCTCATTAAGAGTTCCACCCACCTGCAGGCGCCCCTTGGCCGAGCTCCAGCAATAACACAGCTGTTGAGGAGGCTTAGTTTCCGTGGCGATGGCCACTGGATCGGAGCGGAATGCTGCGTGAAGTGAGCTCACATCCGAGGCAGAGTGGCAGACTAATGGCTGTGTCGAGCATTACGGAGACGTCTGCTGCCGCCGGCTCTTATCCGACTCCCTCTTCCCTTCCTGTATTTTCGCCTTTCGCTTTAGCACGGGTTACTGGGTTTTTCTCTCTCTCTATTTCACCTCGTTTCATAACGGCACAAGAGGCTCTCGTGCAGGGTGGAGGAGAGAGACCATTTGGATTCGTCATCGGGTCCAAAGATGCGTGCGGTCTTCATAGCTTGGATTCGGAGTTCTTGGAGGCCATCTCAATGTGTTGTTGTATCACTTGAGAAGTAACCTCGATTTGGGCCAGCAAGCTATTGCTGATGGATGTATGATGCATTTCAATCATCTTTATTGAGCTCGTTGTCTCATTCATTTGAATCGACCAAAGACTAATACAGTCCGTGTCTGTAAACCAGTTTTTTGGGGTGGTGGTTGCGGGGGGCGGCAACAAAAGCCACGCAAATTGAAAGTAGAGCTTTCTGGAATCACCCGATCCAGATTTTGGGTAAAAATGTGGCCGTGCCCAAAAGCACAGACTGTTCATGATTTAAGGTGAAACGCACATCGTCGTCCTCGCTACTTCTGCCACTCTGAATACATTAGCATGCCATTACGTATGAGCTGAAAAGGAACATTTTGGTTCTGGTGGGGCTTTTCTTCCCGTCGGTGCAAAAAAAAAAGAAAAAAAACAAAAAGAAAAAGGCCACGGTCGTCTGTCACCGCGACCTCATCACTCTCTCGATTGAAAAGTTGAATCAGGAATTCAAATAACACACACACAGGGATGAATGCATTTCTTCTTATTTTATATTTTTTATACGCAGTGAACTGTTTTCCAAATGACCTTCTTTGGTGTAAATTGGCTCTTATTCTTGTGCTTCAGAGGATGGAGCGATGGTCACCGTTGACGTGGGCGTGGCCTACAGAGACGATACCGTTAGTGAGTGGACTGAGATGGCTCACTCTTATGAACAACGGAAACTCAACTGCAATTTCACAACTTCCAAGGTGTGGAAACAATGATAATTCCCCTTTTTTTTTTTTTTTTTTTTTTTAAATTACAGATTGCTGCCCTGCTTAGACATGAACTTGGTTCTCAAATGTGCGTTTTAACCACACATTGTTTGCACCCTTCAGACATTTGAAAACGAGGGCCGCTACTACGAGTGTGACCTTCTGCCCTTCATGGAGGTCGGCAGCGTGGCCCATAAGTACTATCTCCTCAACATTCGTCTGCCTGTCAATGAGCGCAAGAAGATCAACGTGGGCATCGGCGAAATAAAGGACGTTCGCCTGGTTGTAAGTTGACCTCTCGCTCGCCCAAGTGCGAGCATCCTCAAGGTTTGTCGTAGCGCTCCCGTTGTTCTTGTGTGATGATGGCCAACTTCTGCAGCAGATGAGCTGGCATTTTCTAAGGTTCTACTGATAAATTCAATCAATGACGCTTCATTGGAATATAACGGCGATATGATTTACCCTCGCGCTATATTAATTATTCTCTGTGTCCTAGCCTTGAAGACCCCCCAAGGCCACGTACTCGGGTGCCTGTTTGTTATGCCAACACGTTGCTAATGATTACACTCAACAATTTTGGTTGCATTCGCAAGGCAACATAGATGTATAACTGTCCCGCATCCCCGATTTGAGACCCACCAGGACACGTGCGCAGGTGTCTGATTGTTATGCCAAGAGGATTGTTTTGCCAATGTGTGAGCTTTAGCGCATCCTGTTTTCTGTTCCAAGGGAATCCACCAAAATGGAGGCTTCACAAAGGTTTGGTTTGCCATGAAGACGTTCCTGACACCCAGCATCCTCATCATCATGATCTGGTACTGGAGGCGCATCACGCTCATGACGAGACCCCCTGTGCTGCTGGAGAAGTAAGGCCGCGCAATACCGAGTCTAGCAATGTGATGTCATACATTAAAGGCTTGGTGTTTGCTTAAATAAGCTTGACAAGATGAAGAAGGCACGGCGGGGGCGCGCACTACTGCAGCCGGAGCGTACGAACGAATCGTTTCGCCACAAGCCGCTGTGGCGCTGCATTAGGGTGGATATTAACTATGAATGAAATTTGCAAGTGGGTCATGAAAACTGCGCACTCGAGGTCGGTAAGATAAGACGCATCTGAGGGGTGTTCGTGCCGCTTAACTGCATTCGCGAGGTGTTGAGCAGACCAAGGGTCGCTCATACGTGACGCAAAATGAGAGAGAGAGAGGCTGTCACCTCCTTTTTGCCCATTGTGCAAGATTTGATATGAATTGATAAACCTGAAGAAACGTCACTTATTTACCACCTGTATTGTTTAAAATATTATGTTTCCTCACAACAAACGTAATGCAAAAAAAAAAAAAAAAGGCACTAATAGACAGACAGTTGGATTTCAAGCTGAGAACTGCGGATCGAGTGTTGGTGTAACCGCTGCCATGTTGGGAAGACATGAGTCAGAGGCTACAGGAAGAGCCTGGCGAAGCGTGAAACGCGTTACAAAATCTGCTTGCAAAAGCGACGCACTCAAATCTCACTCTGCGGCGCACGGGTCTTTTTTTTTTTCCCACGTGAGGAGAAGGCTCTTAGGAAGGAGCACTTGTACACTTTTTTTTTTTTTTTTTTTTTTTTTTTTTTGATGGTACGTGAATTCAATGTAACATTCTGTTTGGAAAGTGCGTTTTTTTATTGGCCATTTCTTTCCATGGGGATTTTCCTCTCCTTCACTTCGTGTGTCCAAAACACTCTTTTAACCTTGATGGTAACACACACACACACACACACACACACAATGCTCTTCACTCTGTTGGCTTTGCGCAGGGCACATTCCTTGCATACCACCCGAGTGAGGTTTCACTTGTTCACGTCATAAAGCTGAACTGCACAGTTGAGTCTGGAGGTGAACGATTTAGAAACTTTTCATACTTTTCTACTATTGTACTGTGAGTCCCTTATTTCCAGCTTTTCGGCTTTTATTTTAGCCAAAACAGCTGACCTTTGAATGTCCTGGTGATTATTTAAATATTTCTGAAAGTATTTATAGTCCTGTCCTGTGGTATTGTGAGAGTGTTTCATGTGTGTGTGTGTGTGTGTGTGTGTGTTGCTTCCTATCATATAAAGATTTCTGAGAGCGGATACATCTGGCTTCATAGATACTCGTCTATTCACAACAGAATTCAAATGCTGCAATGACTCTGTTTTGCCAGCTTCTTTATTTTGCAACCTTCTTTCATCTGCTGCTGGCATGCAGGGACCTGCTGGGCCCACTGGGAAAAACAACTTCTATTCGGTCTCACTCTTACCTTTTTAGGATTTCACGGAGAGTCTAAAGGTCGTATTCCACCGAACGGGGGAACGACGTCATGTTCCAAATTTTTAGGGGACAAGAAAAACTGTTTGTGACCATTGAAAGTGTTGGCGAGCGTCTTTGCGACCTTGAACGAACCCTGATGAAAAATCAACATATGCTACCCTGTTATGACATACATAGCTTTCATTTCATTTGGATTATTATTATTATTTTTTAACATTTTTGCTCTTGCAGGGTGATCTTTGCTCTGGGTATCTCCATGACGTTCATCAACATCCCAGTGGAGTGGTTCTCTATTGGCTTCAACTGGACCTGGATGTTGCTTTTTGGAGACATTCGACAAGGCATCTTCTACTCCATGTTGCTTTCTTTCTGGATCATCTTCTGCGGGGAGCACCTCATGGTATTGTGCCGGGCACGTGTTCACTTTTTTTTTTTTTCTTGTTTGCTGACCTGTCAACTTGAACATATCTAGTTTGCCTCCTTTTCTCAGGACCAGACTGAGAGGAATCGTTTCTCAGTGTATTGGAAGCAAGTCGGGCCCATTGTGTTTGGGTCTTTCTGTCTCTTTATCTTTGACATGTGCGAGAGGTGAGAAGTGTTTTTGTTTCTGTTCAAATTGCAATTATTATTATTATTTTTTTTTTTGACCAAGGATGAACATTTACTATCTGCTTTGTGTTGTGTTCATAAATAAATGCACCGCTTTGTTTTGTGTCACCAGAGGCGTCCAGTTGACCAACCCCTTCTACAGCATCTGGGCATCGGATGTTGGCACTGAGCTGGCCGTATCCTTTTTTGCGCTCCATCTGTGGCCAACATCAAGTCCCGTTTTGGCTTCATAGTGACTCCCAAGCCATATTTGGGCTTGGAAATATAGTCGGTCACCTACATCTCAAGAATATGTACATGATAAAAGGACCCAACTTTGCTTTTTGAAGGTACACTACATTTTTCATGGCTGCTTGTGGTTCCCTTGACTAATAAGAGGAGGAATAATTCAGTAATGCCATATGTTGTCACCAACCCAGGATGGATACATTTTTTTTCCTTTTTCTGTTTGTTTATTTCAGAGCTTGCCAGGCAGAGAGAGAGAGAATTAACATAAACAAATTAGCACTAGAACATCACTCCTTTCTAGTCTTTTGTTGATCTCTAATGGTCTTTCGATGGATAAAAACTTGGTGCATCCTTGTAAATCTCACATGGACACACCGAAAAATTACAGGAAAGTGAATTTCCCTTGTGTCGCTAGCTGGGGGTGTATTTTGAACACGTAACGCCGGTGCATGTATTCTGTTCCTCCCCAATCTGTCTATTGGATGATCGCACAAAAATAACAGGAAAGTGAATTTCCCTTGTGTAGCTAGCTAGCTACACAAGGGATAGCTAGACAGCTAGCTGTCTAGCTGGGGATGTATTTTGAATACGTAACGCCGGTACATTTATTCTGTTCCTCCCCAATCTGTCTATTGGATGATCACATTTGGAAGTACGAGAGATGTTATTTCCTCGACTGCCGCTCGCTCAGATGGCTTTCATCATCGTGGCCGGGATCTGCGCTTGCCTCTACTTCCTCTTCCTCTGCTTCATGGTTTTCCAAGTTTTCCGCAACATCAGTGGGAAGAGGACTTCACTGCCCGCCATGTCCAAGGCGAGACGCCTGCACTATGAGGTGTGTATTCGTGGCGTCATTTGTCTCTTCATTCGCTCCGAGCAAGTCGTGAGCGTGCTTTTCAATCGGAATTTTTAATGCGACCGTGTGTCTTCCAGGGTTTGATTTTTAGGTTCAAATTCCATGAGTGTGCTTTTCAATCGGAATTTTTAATGCGACCGTGTCTTCCAGGGTTTGATTTTTAGGTTCAAATTCCTCTGAAAATCCCTCACCTTTTTTTTTTTTTTTTTGCGAGTAGTTTCTTTTCTCCGTTTTTGGAGCAGTTGGAAGGAATTTACTCTTTGTGCTTGCCCGTCCATCTTTGTCCAGGTGAACGAGGGTCACTGGCACTGGGGGGAACACACCGTTCAGGTGAACAGCGCCTTCTTCACGGGCATCTACGGCATGTGGAACCTCTACGTATTCGCCATCATGTTCTTGTACGCCCCCTCTCACAAGCGATACGGAGACGACCAGTCAAGTGGACAGTGTATCACAGGTCATGTACATTTCTTGACGAATCAGAGCTCCGCATGCTTACGTCCTCATTCCCCGGTGAGTGGGCGCAGTTATCGTTTTTTTGGGAATTTTCATGATGGTTGTTTCGCAGGCAGAATTATATTATGTTCAATAATGCTCCAACATTATACTTATAATATGCAAGCTTGTGGAAGTTTCAGGAACATAAGCCCCACGTAGCTGTTTTCATTTCATCAGAACCTTTGTGAAAGTTTTAGCAAGCATAAACAGGAATTTAGACGGCGGGGCGGACACTGTTGATTAATTTGACAACGAGTAAATTCAAAGCCGAAAACTCTCTCTACTTTGTCTGGGGTATTTAAAACGGCCAACGTTAGCAAGATAAATTATTTGGTGGGGAATTCCCTGAGACTGTTTTTGGCTGGAGAGTCGGATTGGAATGGCTTCCTTCCAGTCAGAAAGGCAGCGGTGGAAAAAAGGGTTTTCGGATGAAATGAAAACCATTCATCTCTCAGGATTCTGTGTCAGAGACAAGTTGGATTGTTTGACGGTTTTGGAGGCTTTCCCAAAAAGGCATCGAGTCTCAATTGGCCTGTTGATTTAATTCACCCTCGCCTTCAGTTCTGTCGAGTCACCGGCAGCGAGATACAAAAAGGCAAGACTGCGCCTGACCCGTAAAGCTGATCCTCAAAACGGTTCGCAACACATAATGTGGAGGTGTGCAGAATAATTTGTCATATTATGATGATGTGTCATCATGTATGACAAAGCTCTGATATGTTTTGTCAATCTATCAAGAAATACATCTGACAAACCTCCATGGGGAGAAAAAAAAACCCCTTAGAAAACTGAAATGGAGAAAACCATCTTCGATGTCCTTGTAACAAGGTTCCTGCAGATCCATAAAACATCTTAAAAGGCATTGAGTCCACAAATCAAACACCGAGGCCTTAATCGCATGACTTAACATCATCCGGCGCTGTGCCAGATTCCCGGCATAAGATGTCGCGGTGGGTCTTGTCTAAAAATGCGCATGTCCTGCTTAAGTGCCTCCACGCCGCAGCTCATCAAAAGTTATTCATCCACCAATAGTATCAGCCAAATTTAACAGCCATTAGCCAATCAGATGTAGAGTCGGGCGGGTCTCGTCTTGAAATAGCCGAATGACGAATCCAGATACACAACCCGCAAAAAATACTGCTCAGCATTGCTTGACGTGAAACGTGCTCTTAGTTTATACGTTGCCGGGATGTTTCGCTTCAACTTCTGCTGAAGTGAACAAACTCGATGTCAATTTTACTGATTTATTTTTGCATAAAGTATTGGTGGCTGGTATTTGCAGCCTCCACGAGGTATCGGCACTCGACCATCCATAATTAAAACCCTTTTCCTTTAGAAATGATGAATGTCTTATCCTAACTTTATGACCCACCCCACCTCCCCCCACCCTAAGACAGGCAACGTTGTCATGTAAGAGTACACGGGGGAGTTACTTTTAATTACCATTAGGATTACGAGGAGGATCTTGGAAAAATCTCTTGCGAGTAGCTGATCCACGGACGCAAAAAGTTTGAGGAAGCCCTGCCATAACAGAGGCCGTGTCCACTTTTGCAGGAGATGCCGCTGCAAACAGTGGTGAAGACATCCAGCTGACGACAACCATCACTCACGTTGACGGGCCCACCGAGATCTACAAGATGACTGGAAAAGAAGCCCAAGAGTAGACCCCGCCCGCATTGTTGTTGCCACCCACCCTTGGTTACCTACTGTTCCAACGGCCCCCTTTCCCGCAGACATACTGTGCATAAGTTACACGTTTTTTTTTTTTCTTCTCTTTTATACCCTTGACACCTGACGCACCAGCAACAGTCCACCTTGCACGAACTGTCAACAAGTCCTTTTCATTTCATGGGGGATACATTTCATACTTGCTATATACTATTGTGTTTTTAAAATGTTGCACAACACTTTTGACACCAAGTCGGGTACTTGAAAGCTGCCTCGTAGATCAATGTATTAGCTCAAAATGTTACATGTAGTCTGGTTTGCGCTGCGGTTTTAGAGTCAAGGCCTAAAATTGGATGGGAATGGACTGCATCATTTCTCTTTTTTTTCTGGATGCAATGCTGTCACTTTGATTTCTATCCGGTAATGTTGATAGTGAAGGCCATCTAACCCCTCACTAATCTCTTCCTTGGAAAGTACATCAGGTGTGACACGTCATTAGAAAAGTATTTTTTAAAATATTATTGGGGGGAAAATGTATGGACCACAAACCTATTTTTATAGTGTTTTTTTTTCCAATTGCAAAAACATGTATCGCACTCTACCACGTTGAGTTTAGAAGTTGCCAGTAGACGTATTAAATGTCCTATTTTTGTTTTTTGCTTTCTATTGTAATTTAAATAAAAGTACTTTTACTTAACCTTTAGTGTGTGCATCCATTTTTTGACTGCATTTTTCCACCATTAGGATTACAAGGTTAGCTGGACCCATTTCCAACTGACAGTTTTAAATCTGGAGCCTCGTCACTAATTCTAATGTGCCTCCAAGTTTAAAGTGTGTGTGTAGAATTAAAAAGTACATGTACTCACCCCATCACTACCATCACACTAAAAGAAAATTAATACAATGATTAGCGACTTATAAAATTGCTGAAATCTTTGCGATTCGGGTGAATGAATTTACATTTATGGGCAAAGAGCGCCACCTCGAGTCTCACAGCTGAACTGTTTCATTTGTTGGCGTCTGTCAAATTAGCTTGCGCAACAGGAAGTTGGGACACACAGAATCTCGAACATGCTCAAATGACAAAAATGGAACCACTGAATAAATAACACGCGAAGGACTACGACCCGTGTAATGAACGTACATTAACTAAATCTACTCTTAAAAACAACAGCGGTCCACTTTTTAGATAGCTCAATTTGGTTTCACCAGCACACCCCGCCTCTAATTTGGGGCATTATATAGTAGGAGTAACGTTTTCAAGTGAGTGATAAAAGGCATAAAGGAATACTTATCACCGGATACGTTCCAGTCCCTCATCTCAGGTGGGACTGGAACGTATCCGGCGCGTTGACTGGAGCAAGCAAATTATATTGAAGGTGCAGTTGCACATTTCACCACTGGAGGGAGACATGTTTTATGAAGGAAGCCTTGATGTGGCGATGAGTTGATTGACAGAAAAAGTTGCAAGTGAGCTTTGCTCAAATTCCTACTTTGGGGGAACATTTGGTCCAGCCTGTAGATGAAATGTAGCCTCTGCATCAAACATGCACGCACACAAACGCGTCTTTATTTCAGGGTCGTCCTCGTCCACCTCCCTTCTGTAATCTCACCAAAAAAAAAAAAAACCTACAGCGATTAACTACCATAGAGACTTAATTAACGAATCAAACATCTGGACATGGCCGGTAGGCTTAGGCATCTCTTGTAAGATTGCTTATGTGATGGATCAAACACGGCATCCTGCATAGAAAATGTCCCCATCTGGCTATTGTTTTTCTTTCTTTTTTTTTTCTCACCGTTATTTTCTTTCTTTGATTTTTTTTTTTTCAGACGTGCAATGTTCCTCACTTTTAACTATTCCTTGCCAAACCTCTTTCCAACCAGGGGCGTTGCACCAAAATAAAGGGGCGGGGCCATGACCACCACATGCTTGTGGCACCGTTGTCTTCTATCGCTATTGTGACATAAAGTTACAAATGACAGGCTATTAGGCTAACGTTAATGTGAAGCGCTATAACGCAGCACAACACATGTAATGTGCAATCCAGCATTACATAGCAAAATGTAAAATATCCCATCATATCATTTGGAACTTTTTAATATTGTACGGGTACGGATCTCATCACAACACAGGCCCGCGAAGCCTACGCTAGCATGACGTAAAGCCGCGTCGTGCGCCGCAACAACCCCAGATGCGTTTGTGCTGCTTTTTGAGCTTTACTGTTCTTTGTGCGCAATTATGTGTTAATGTGTGTACAAACATTTTCCTGGCACTTGCGCCGACCCCCCCAAGCTCACACGGAGCTATTCTGCGGACTGGGCCTTTTTTGGCTAAGCCCTCCTTGTCCTCGGGCTGCACCAGCTGCTGTCTACTTGCGACCGCTTTTCAAGCGACCTGACATGGCGTCCTTTCCTACCTGCCTTCCTCCTCCTCCTCCTCTTCCTCCTTCGTCAGTGCTCAACCTCCTTTTTTTAGGCGGGGGGCCGTAACTTTGTGAAAGGTGAGCCGCCGAGTGATTTTCCACGGCGGCGTGCATAACTAATGGCAACGTGTTAAAAAATCATTGCGGGAACGTCCTTGGGAAGACAAATGAATTTTCAGCAGAATAATTAACTTAATTAACAAATTTGCATGCATATTCATCAGGGCCATTGAAGTCTTTTCAGCTCAGCTTGATGAACGTTGCTGTGTAATAACCAGCTCATTTACATTCTGCCATCCAGCGCCATTTGCGCGCATTACTGAGGGAGCGCCGCGCGCGGCGCGTAACGGCGTGCACGCGCCGCTCGTTGACTTAACACGTGAGCCGGATGAATTGATTTGACGTGGCCGTTTGTTGGCCGCGCACCCCAATAGGAGGCCCAGCTGCCTCCCCTCCACCTCTTTGCGCCCCCTCCCTACATATTCATGCCCACGAAGCTCAATGTGACACAGGCTGACCCCCGCGTCGCCCGCCGCCCCCGTCGCCACGTCCTTCTTGGCACCCATCCTGCCTCATAAACTCTCCCGGGCTGCCAGCTTGTTAAAAACCTGAGCACCCACCACACCCCCACCAGCCCCTCCCACCCCGTGGGGTACCCATGGGCACCCCCTCACACACACACTCCTCTCCTTCTCTGTGGCTCTGCGGGGCAATCTTTAAAGGCGGCAAGGTGTGACGGAACAGACTGGCAGCCGCCGCCCAAGGACAGCGGCGCTCCGTCAGCCGTGAGAGGGCACCACTGCGAGGGGCCCCCGCGCTTGGCCCGTGTGCGCCTTTCTCATGTCTCGTCTATGCAACGCGGTGCGGGGCTTTTGTTTTGATCAGGAGGAATTTGCGGGGAGGCTTTCCACACGATAACTGGCTCGCGCAGGCCTCTGACTGAAGGGCCATGCGACATTGGGCTTTGTCTTATTTGCAGTACGGGATCTTTTCTAAAGGGTTAAACTTGCACATTAAGGATTGCCTGGATTTCGTCTTTGAAGCTGAGGTTTTAATGTAGTGTTCGGGTTTCACGTAAGACTGACAAATTCGGGTTTCAAGAGAGGGTTGTGGTTGAAATTGGGATATCATTCCAGATTGACGGTTTCAAACCAGAGCTAGACTTTCAAATTGTCTTTGCAAATTACGGTTTTAGGGGTTCACATTCAAGTTTTAATCCGTCATGAAGGTTTCAAGTTCGGGAGGGTTTCAAGAGTGAGTTGTGGGTTTGAGATACAATTCAGCGCAGCAAAAATGAAGCCTGCAATGTGAATGGTGTTTGTGTTGAGTCAAGAAATGTTCCTCATAACTCGGTTTAAGCTCGCGTTTTAAACCACACGGGAAGGCAGCATATTGCAGACGGGCCATTTCAACCCCAGTCGGGAAATGTTGGAAGCGATTTGGTGGGTCCTGTGTTTTCAGTGTGAAAATCTTACCTTTCAACCATCCAATCATCTGTGGTTAGTCTTTTCAAGCGCTGAAAAAGATCCAACTTTAGCTCTGCTTCGATTTCATTTTATGGAGCTCGAGCACCACCAAAACAGGCTCGAAACGCCTCTCGCGGTGTCTATTTGAGTGAGGCATGGATTTGAGGTGTAAGGCAGAAGGTTCTGAAAAGAAGATGTTTGTGACGGTCATCGTGGATGCTTTTTTTTTTGAGGGGAGTGTGTGTGTGATGACTACGCAGCAGTTTCGCAAAGCCTCACTGCCAACGAGCCGCCAGTGCTCCGTTAACGCCATCCTCGAGGCACTCAAAACAAAAAGGAACGCGGCACTCTTTTCTTTTTTTTTTTTGCACCTTCAACAAGAGCAATATTCTGCACGGCCGTCCTGAGATTTGGCACTTGCAATTAACACGTTCATACACGCAAAATGTAGACATATTTCAGAGGAAAATAGCATCACCTCACAACTTTCTTTCCTCACTTTGCCCCTGCGATAGTCGGCGTGACGCCGCGCTGGAAACTGTGAGCGCGGCTGCAAAAAAAAGTGTGAATGCGGTCCGTTGCGCCCGAGATGGCCGCGGAACGTCCCAGATTTCACGCTCGGTGGAAGTTTTTTTTTTCTTTTTCTTTTTTTTTTTTTTTTAATGACGTGTTTGACTCGTTTATGGCATCGTCCGTGACTCGTTTGTTTGGAGGCTTTCGGCGAAGCGAGACGAGCGGAAACGCTCAAGCGGGCCATTAAACTGACCTTCAGATTTCACCTGGATGTCAAGCGGCTGTCACGTCTCTGATGTCGAGGCCGGCGGCGGAAGACTCAACAGAAGGCGCAGACCATGTACAGTAAGGTGTTTTTAGCCCAAAAAAATGGCCATGTATAGTAAAGCGTTTTTCGCTGAAAAAAATGACCATCTACAGTAAGGCGTTTTTAGCCGAAAAAAACAACCATGTATCGTCAGGCGTTTTTAGCCGACAAAAAACGACCACGTGTAGTAAGGCGATTTTAGCCGAAAAAAACGACCATGTATAGTAAGGCGTTTTAGTAGAAAAAAACGACCATGTATCGTCAGGCGTTTTTAGCCGACAAAAAACGACCACGTGTAGTAAGGCGATTTTAGCCGAAAAAAACGACCATGTATAGTAAGGCGTTTTAGTAGAAAAAAACGACCATGTATCGTCAGGCGTTTTTAGCCGACAAAAAACGACCACGTGTAGTAAGGCGATTTTAGCCGAAAAAAACGACCATGTATAGTAAGGCGTTTTTAGCCGAAAAAAACGACCATGTATAGTAAGGCGTTTTTAGCCGAAAAAAACGACCATGTATAGTAAGGCGTTTTTAGCCGAAAAAAACGACCATGTATAGTAAGGCGTTTTTAGCCGAAAAAAACGACCATGTATAGTAAGGCGTTTTTAGCCGAAAAAAACGACCATGTATAGTAAGGCGTTTTTAGCCGAAAAAAACGACCATGTATAGTAAGACGTTTTTATCCGAAAAAAAAACGATCATGTATAGTAAGGTGTTTTTGGCCGAAAATAACGACCATGTATAGTAAGGCGTTTTTAGCCGAAAAAAAAAACGACCATGTGTAGTAATGTGTTTTTAGTCGAAAAAACACGACCATGTATAGTAAGGCGTTTTTAGCCGAAAAAAACGACCATGTATAGTAAGGCGTTTTTAGCCGAAAAAAACGACCATGTATAGTAAGGCGTTTTTAGCCGAAAAAAACGACCATGTATAGTAAGGCGTTTTTGGCCGAAAAAAACGACCATCGCCGAAAAAAAATGACCACGTATAG